ACGATTAAAAGTTAACTTGGGGAAGTGCAACAAAGTTTTATTGAAGTCATTGGATTTCATCAAGATGATTGACAAACCTGTGTTCAGTTCACTTATCCGACAAACCCCTGAAGGGATTTAACAAACTCCAACAATGTTTTATAGAATCTGTGACCTGGACCTTGACCAGTAATTTCATAATGTACAACTATCAGTTGACAAATTGTTAAAAGACTTTTTGATAAATGTCACAATTCAAAGGCATGCATTTACCCTTGCGAGACAATTTTAACAAAATAACAAAGATGCCCACAATCTGACATTTTTAACAACTAGGGCAAATTTACCATTGGAAAACTAGGTCACATTGTACAATTTCACATGTAAACTTCTCATATACCTAATATTAGACATATTACTACAACTGCCTTTAATAAATCTGATTAAACTCATGGTCATGTTCTTATGTTATTGGTCATTATAAATAATCCTTAGACCTTACAAAATGGCTCAGTACTGAGGTCAGCCAACTCTGAAAAAAAACTGAAAATGAATTCTTATTACTAAAAAAATATACAGCAAAAATATCTGTCCATGAGGACAGAGCTTCTATTTAACTTAAAGATGTTCTACATAATTCAGTATTTTATCGTGTATTAACCTTAATATTCATTTTCTTTCAAGGTCATTCACACTTTCTTCACAACACCTATAAAAAAAAGCATCTGCTCTGATAAACAATCTTTTGGTGCTTTCCCCCTGCGTGATACGACTCGACTCGGCTCGGCTCAGTACGGCACGGCTCGCGTTTCCACTGCAGTTCAGTACCGCTTTAGAGTGGGTGGGATTATTCACATGTCATTTGAATTGATTCAATGCCAAACAATGATAACAAAATATGTTCACCACTGCAAACATGGCTTGATAAATGCTTTATAGGGTTCTTCAATATCAAATACTAACAGCTAGAGCCAGGAATGCAATTTACTTATTGCTTGCAGGAATTATTCAAGCAATTGTTGCAATTTTGAATAGGGACGTGGAATTGAAAATAAGATAAATTCTCATTATTGTCTCGTGACTGCAAAAAAATTATAAGAGTACATATCATTTATAATCTACAGAACAATCAAGCAAGCTAAACAACATATTTTCTTTGCACAACTCTGGCTTAGGAGTTCAACTATGCTTCAGAAATGACATGATTTCAGATCCACATTTTCTCTATATCTAGCAAATACTCTTGTAAAAACCACAATATAAAATAAAACCTAACAAAATGTTTTAATATACGATTAATGAATCATACATCTGCACCCTACAATGAAAAGCACATCCGTGTCATAAACACAACCTTACTGCTATTAAACTCTGCATTAATATAACCAAAATATTCACAATTCATTCAAACATAAAAATTAAGTCCTAGCAAAATATAAATAGGAAAACGAATAATTATAATTTGCATTTCTTTTTCTGTAATCTCATTTTGCTTAAAAAAAAAATCTAAAATAACTGCACATTCATAAATGATTATGCAAATGTAATACCAGCTGCTAAAAGACTATTAGTCTCTGAAGTCAGTTTATTAAAAGAACAAGGTTCATAAAGAAAAGAAAAGAAAAAAAACTAATGTGCTGAGAGCAAAGCAGAACACTTGAGCAAAAGTCTTTGAGTGTAGAAAGGTGGGAGAGACCTTGGACTCAAACATTCACCCGGACCCCAACCCTTCTGCCTACAAGCTCTACTTGCCCTCCAAATGAGAAAACAAGTACCCCATCACCCAGGATAATCACAGTGTTTAATCTCCAGGTTCCTCAAAGGAAAGAAGTCAAAAAGAGACTGACGGTCTACCTATATCTAAGAAAATGGCTTTGATTAGCAATTGCTTAAAAGCAGTGAAGAGCAAGGATTTCTTCCTGATACCTTGAACAATATTGCCATCTGTCGTTCACAGAGGGAAATGTGTCAGAACCAGGAATCAGGAATGAGTCTGATAATACAGTTTAGCTAGGTTTATGGTCTCTGTATTGATGTAACAAAATCAAAGAGAAAACTACAAAAATTTCAATATTCAAATATATCTAGCTTTGTGTAAACGAGGTACGTTTGTCAATTTAATCCACTAAGACATCTTCCATAATTCCTTTATTCAATATCTCCTGTGGTGATTAAAAGTGGAGGAATGAATTTAGAGATCTTTATTTATTTATAAAATATCAGCACTTAATGTTTAAAATAAAAATGTTTAAAATTAAAAACCGGTTGTGGATCCTGTAAGGTATTATATAAGTAACAGAGTGGACAGATAGGGTTAGGCTTGATATAACAAGGCATAGAAGACAAACTGTTCTTCTCGCTTTAAACAGATATATTTTTTCCCAATTGTATTTATTAAATCACGCTTCCATTTCTTTTCTCTTTTTTTGACCAATCAAAAGCGCAGCTGAAAGGCACTGACTTTTATGTTTGGCTTTCACAGCCCCTGACTGACAAGTAAGCTTTTACTTTTTGTTTTGCGAGAATGTGCTTGTTTTTATATCTTTAGCACTCTCCTTTTTGCTAATATAAGGCCTCCGCAGGGGTTCTCGGATTTAAGACCCTGCGCCCCCATTATCAAAATGAAGCCATCATGAAGCGAGCATACCTTCGGGATGTCCTTCTGATTTCTGCCTACCTTCTCTTGAAAAATGGCAGGGTTAAGAGGTCGGCCGGTCCCCGTCTGCTGCCGAACAGGAGGCTTAGTCTGGCGAGTGGGATGGAGTGAAGACTTCAAACCGCGGGTGAACGGGTGAGTGCGAGGGTAAAGAGAGAGAAGCTCCAGGGAGGCCAGAGGAGGGGAAGGGCAGGACAAGGCCTTGATTTCCCGTGGAAGCACAACAAAGCCTCTGTTTTTTTAGAGAAAGCAGCGATGGCCCTCTCCCTGACACCTCTTAGAAGTGTGCGGGTGTGCTCGCGTTGCGTGGCAGAGAGGATAAGCCATCCACGCTAAAGCATTTGGCACTTCTGAGGAGCCAGCTGAATCTCCCGGCTTCAGGACAAGTTTCTGGGGTTTGCTGTCAATGGCGGCTTCAGGGGGATCTGTTCTTCAAATGCACGTAAACTCAAATCACCAAGGAAAAAAAGGACTTTCAATCAGAATCAGATCTCACTCTAAAAACATCTGTCCATTACTATTATATTTACTATTGTAAAAATGTTCATTCATGTAATATTCTCAATTTCATTGTTATTACTATCATAAAAAGTTTGATCTACTAAACTGAGTTTGGAAAGCACAAAACACTTTTCAAACAAATGACGGACGGCTTAAAATGTTAACAACATCTTGCATATCCACGATTAGTTTGCATAGAAATATATCCAAAAAAAACAAGGTGAAAGGCAAAGGAATGCAAACCATGAATGGTGCACTAAACCAGATCACAGCGGGTGTTAATTGCATGATAATTAAGCACAGCAACAGTCAAGCAGGAGAAGCTAAAGATTAATCATCGGCCAATTAAATGCCCACGGTGAGGAACGTGAGGCCCCTCGGAGAAGAGAGATCTCCACTGTGATCTGAGCTATCAGCACAGCGGCACAACATCAGATCACTGGCAAAAGATCCTTTTCAAAAATCTCCTCATTTATGTCAGCCTTTTTGGAATCGTTGTGGATGCCGTAGCCATCTGGTAATTGATATCAAGAGCACCTTGAGTTAGGTGCAGGTGCCGAGTTTGAAAGCAACGACTTCAGATGAAGAGAATTTGCTGCGTGCTGAGACTTCATATGGTGGCATCAGTGGATTGCAAAAAGAACAAGGCTACAGAGGGACTGAAACACTTTAAAACGGTTTAACACCAATGTGATATATACTATATCTGATATATATTATATCCTTTTCAAAAACACATACATACATGTGATCCTTCCGCATAAATTACATAAATATATATATTTACTTAGTTAACTGATTTATTTTATAAATATATACATATATTTATTTGTGTGTGCATAATACTATATACTATTTATAGTATAAATAAATTATAATTAAATATAGTTATATACTTCACATGGAAGGATAACATTCAATTTGTAATATGTAAATGTTTATATTCATGTGGAAGGATGACAAATGATAAAATTAAAAATCTATTATTATTAAAAATCTATTTTAGTTCATTCATTGTGCCATCTTGCCACATGAACTATATAAATGTATTTAGTCATTTAATTTATTTAATATAATTATTTTAGATCTATCTATCCATCTATATAATATATATATATATATATATATATATAGAATTTTAGTGTATGATTGCACTTGATTAAAGTGGAAGTACAACAAATGATGAATGCGTTTAAAAAAAATAACTTTTTTAAAAATATATACTGAGATATATCAGTATACACAAAAATCTGCGTTATAAACATATATTCATATTATTACTGTAACACATAAGGGTTTACTAGAAATATAGTATATTAGCCTGCTCTCAGAAACTCTTAAAAAACACAAAGGCAAGGCCAACCTCATATTCCAAATATTACAAATTTAAAGTTTGTTTATTGTGTTCAGTTTATCCACTCCTTATCCAATATAACATAACTGTGACCACCTCAGAGAAAACTAAAATATGTGTATTTTAATAGGATTATTACAGTACGGGAGTAAGAAAGACAAACGTGGTGATGTAAAACAAGCAAAGGAAAAATTTGGCTTGAGAGGAAAAGCGCCTTGAGAGGTTTGATGTGTGTGGGGTGGATTCTTCACGGGCAGATAGAGTTATGAATAACTAAACAAGGACTTCGGGCAAAAAAAATACAGGTCTGCTCTCATTGGCCCAAGTGGTAGTTGCAAAAACTACACTCTAAATTAACCACAGTGGAAATTTCAATGACCTTCAGTGATTTTAGAGTTTTAGACCATGTGTGTATATGCGCATGTTTATGAGAAGAAGAAAGTTGCCAATGAAAGCATTCACTCAATACGTGTGTGCTTTGTTTGGTATAAGGACGTTTTTAATACTCACAAACTCTTTCTCAAGTTTCTCCATCTCTTGCTTGTAGCTCTTCAGACGGCTGCTGTACATGCCTCGGCTCTGAATAGGGATCTCTCGAACCTCCAGGTCCATCTGCTCGAGCTAGAAACATCAATTAAATTCAGTGTAAACAATCAAACTATTTCACATACCATTTTGATACAAAAACAATTAAACTGTCTAGCTTGTTTATTGTCAACTGGAGGCAGCGCAGAGGCATCGATTCATGCACCCGGCAAATCAAGTCATGTTAGGAGGTGCCGCTTCATTAAAACCTCAGGCACGGTTGAGCTCTGACAACTACGACATGTGTCCGTGTCACATGTGAGCAAACCGGTGTGCACAAAAGGGCCCCCACTGATTTACACTGTCCAATCAACATGACATGATGGGACAATTTACATGCAACACACATCCCTCCTTTCGGCACCTGCCACAGCGCCTTCCCCCAATAATGGCGTGAAATGTGTCGCACAGTGTCACTTAAAAGCACATTATGTGGATGTGATCACACCGATAGCACCGAGCAGCCTTCAGCCAGATGAAGAGTGTCTCATGTCACTGGTGACATTGCAGGTGTTGTTTATGCAGGGGGGAACTTTTCCAAATTCATTATTTAGAAAACGAGTGAGTGGAAATTACTGATCAAAGACCCACCAACTCTCTGACTTCTTCAAGCTGTTTGTCGACATTTAGAACCAGCTGTGTCTTCTCCTCTGAAAGAGAAAAAGAGGAAACATATTGATCAGTGGATGGAGGAGCTGTGCTTCATGACAACAGCCCGACTCCCCCACAACAACAAGGGAGCAAATAAAAACAAGCCTGTATTTGAAGATATATTTACACATTCTCAACGCACAAAGATCCATATTTGATGTGTCTTATTTTTCCACATGTAAACGCCTTTGTTATTTCGTGAAGGAGTGCAGAGACGCCTCTTGGCAACTCAAAAGAGGAGAGACAATGTCAGCACCACCCAACTCTGCCATTCTGCCACCCACTCAGAACGACTACAATGAGGTTCTATTGGTTTTTGTCTGCTGGTAAGAGCCAGGCCAAAGTATAGAGCATGACTGAATTTCCCTTTCATAATTTGCATCTGCATCACCTCACTAATGTTTATTTGAAAGATGAAATGCATACTGTACATCGTATCTAACTCTCCAAGCATGTTCATGAAGCTTTTTCTAAAAATAAGAGAGGTTGTAATCTTGGGGGTGTGGTTAGGAACCACACGAAATTTCAACATTGATAACAATAAAAAAATGTTACTTGAGCACCAAATCACCATATTTGAATTTTCTGGTATTTCTGACATTGAAGACTGGAGTAACGGCTGCTGAAAATTAAGTTTTGCCATCACAGGAATAAATTACTTGTCAAAATTTATATAAAGATAGAAAACACTTATTTTAAATTGTAATATATAGATTCATTGTTTTTACATGAAACTATAGTCCCTAACTAAATATCTGTTACTACTGTACATCACATCTTTTTAGTACAGATGAAATATTGTCTTGAACAGTTAGCATCAGAGCCAGAACTATTCATTTATAATATGAATTTTGTAATGATAGAAGCACGCTATAAATAAATAACCCTGTGAAAGAACATCAGTACATCTACTGATCAAACAAGACCAGAGAAGCACATCAAACCATGTCAAGCGATAGCACTAATCATGAAGAAAAAAAACATCAAGCGATATCAAACGGGAAGCTGTCAATAAGATGGAAACTAAAGTGAACTTCTGTTTTGCCCTTTGGCTTTCTAATGTCTTTTGGTGGTCATCAATCCATTTTTAAAATCTGTGTGCAACCTCACAGCCCACACAGTGTAAACAGCCAGGGGCGATTCTCTACAAGGTGAGCAAACACTGGGGCCTCTCTATTCACCCCTGGCATAGGGCAGGTTGAAATATATATCTCACTATTGCAGGTGCATGGGGCAGTACCACAAGGTCAGGTGCTCTTTGGGCAAAGCGTTGCACTGAGAAAAGTTCGACTTGTAGATGCATCTTTGCATCTCTGCTCAATTTTTCATTGAGACTGATTGACAGCTCGTTCTCTTTGTGCAAATCCACCTAAAAAAAAACATACACATTTATGTTTAATGGAGCAAGGCCTTGCATTATTTTCAAATTCATGTTTCACAACTACAAGTTTTGCGCTGTTCAACAAAACAAAACATCTTGGAGATTCTCAAGTGAATGAATTTGGTCGATTTGAGCGGGAAAAAATGGCCACGGGCATTATATCCGTCCACTGGTTTTTATCAATGTTTCTACACATGTGACACTGCACAATGCCATGAGAACAATAGCGTAAGCTGCTTTGTTGAAGCCATTGTTGGTCGCAAACAAATTTGTGTACCTAGGAAACAGAAAAAAAAAATTTATAGGCATAATTGAGATTTGAATTCAAGAGCTGAACTCCTCTGGCAACAGTGAGAAAGGTTAGGCCATCACTAATGAGCATGCTTTGCTTATGGCTTTGTTCATATTCAGTGGACTTATTTAAATAGATTTAGCAGCTGGTGGTGGGCCGGTCTGATGACACAATGTTTGTTTCTGCCAAACTCTGAAGAAGCAATTTAAGCTTTAACAATTCACCACATTACACATTCTCATTATTTTCAATATGCTTAAATAATGCAAAGAAAAGCCAATCGCATGCAATTGTTTGACAGTGCTCACCGAACTGAGCACACGCTGCTGTATGATTTTGAATAAGTGATTAATCCCTCTCACCTTTTGTTGACGTACAAAGCACCGAGTGAGTACATCAGGTTATTATGAGACCAGACCTCTGAGGTTTAATACTGACTGAAACATTAAAAGTCACCAGACTGCATGAAAGTAACCTTTCATTGTCTTTCACTGACTTTTACTTCTAATCCAGCAAAGTCAGAACAAGATCTTGAATTCAATTTATGTATTGAATTTTGAACTGAAACTGAACTGCATTTCTGAAGTTCACAATGTGAGCAAAACAAAACGTTATATCAACTTCAAAAGCATCCTAAGGAGAATTTCCAGAGGATAGACCATATCTAGCAATACCACACTTTTGCTTCCCTGAACAGTTCAGAAAGGGCAAACAAGCATACAGAAACACTGAAAACAATAAACTCAAGCAACCACTGACATTTCTCTCGGCCATAAGGCTTGTATCTGACATCTCAGGGATTTCAAACAAATACATTCAGAAATTTTGTCTCTTTAAATTTGTTATGTAAACTCAAATAAATTAACAGCAATAATAATTAAACATTTTCTACAACTTCTAATTTGCTGCTTATTAATAGTTAGTAAGATAGTTGTTAAGTTTAGGTATGGGGTAGGATTAGGGATATAAAATATGGTCATGCAGAATAAGGCATTAATATGTGTTTTACAATTACTAATAAACAGCCAATATGCTAGTAATATGCATGTTGATAAGCAACTAGTTAATAGTGAGAATTGGTCCCTAAACTAAAGCGTTACCCATTTTAAAAAAATCTTACTGACCCCAAACTTTTGAACAATAGTAGGGTATATAGTTCATCTGCTGTGCAAAATACACAGGGATGTATTTCATTCTATTCTTGATTTCAGATGTTTTATTTTCTGCATTCTTTTGTTATCTATTCATACAAACCTCTGCTATCGTCCTACCATTCAGCCAAATAATATCAGACAGAACATAAGAGCATGAAACATATTTCTTATGGGCTTATGGGACACTTATGACTAGAAAGAAAATCCTTTATAAACACAGGTTTGATTATATTTTCTAATAAAGTTATTTTTAGACCCTCTGAGCGTTCTCTCACCTATCCAACATCACACTCATCTCATAGCATCGTCCCCATGGCAACGTATTTGTCTGATTTGAATAATTAAACGCACATAAGTAAAACAACAGTAGCTTTACAGATGTAGAAGTAGACTTATGACAACTTGCAGTCCTAAAGGGTCCCAGCTGGAGCTAATTTTAAATCAATCAGTCCGAGCTTAGCATAGAAATGTTGACATAACTGCTTCTGTGTACATCTATGTGGCACAGTATACAGTGCCTATGTTGACCTAGTAAAGGGGGATACAACAGGGGTCCACAACCTCTAGGGGCTCCATGGCGGTGCTGCAGGGGACCACCTGAATTTTTAGCAGCCATTACTCCAGTCTTCAGTGACACATTATCCTTCAGAAATCATTCTAATATGCATATTTTTTGCTCAATTATTAATTATCATCAGTTTTTAATGGTTATTATTATCAATGTTTAACAGTTTTTGCTAGTTAATATTTTTGAGGAAACTGTGATACATTTGGTCAGGATTCTTCTGTTGAATAGAAAGTTCAATGAAAGAGTTAGTTATTTGAAATAGGTAGAAATCTTTTGTTACATTATAAAAGGTCTTCACTGTCATTTTTGATTCTTTTAATGCGCACTTGGTGAATAAAAGAATTTGTTTTCACGGTTTCCACCAAAATATTAGGTATCAAAAACGGTTTTAAACATTGACAGTAGTAAGAAATATTTCATGAGCGCCAAATCAGCACATTAAAATGATTTCTGAAGGATCATGTGACTAGTCCTGAAGGGTCATGACATAAGTTTAGCTAAATGTTAAATGTCCTACCACATCAAAACATATTAAGTCAAATTGTAAAATATGTAATGCAAAAGTATATGGCTAATGTAAGCATCTTAATAAAGCGTAAGAGTAAATACAATCTGATAAAAATGGATGACAGCCAGGCTTAAAATGCAACACTAATTCTTACACAATATGTCACTGAGGGTCCCCCTGTCCCATCTCTCAATCCTTGGCCTGAAATATATAAAAGATTTCTAACCTATTGTATCCAAGTCTTTAAGTCTGACAAAATTAGTTGTTGTTGTGTTATGTTCATAAATAACAGCAGACTGTCAAAGTAGGATCTTGCATCTCTATCTCACTGAATACTGTCTATACCAGGGTTCCTCAAATCTTGCCCTGGAGGGCCAATGCGCTGCAGAGTTTAGCTCCAACCCTGATCAAACTCACCTACCTGTGATTTTCTAATGATCCTGAAGACTCTGATTAGTATACTCAGGTGTGTTTGATTAGGGTTAGAGCTAAACTCTGCAGGAAAGTGGATCTCGTGGGCCAGATTTGAGGATCCCTGGTCTATACTGTCTGGTATATATATATGCATATTTATCTGTCCATGTCTTTGTCTGTCTGTCTGACTATAGTTATAGATAGATCTATCTATTAATCAATCTATCTATTTCTTCAATCTATCTATCTATCTATCTATGCAGATCCCATATTAATTTGTCAAGTTATACAGAAATAAACTGAAACGAAAGTTAACTGTGGTATTTTGACTTAAATTATGGTTACCATGTTAACATTTTGTGTGAGGTGAGTCATTTGGATTCTGTCTTCCTCTTCCATGTTCTTTGTTTTCTCCACCTGCCTTCTCTTCAGATGGATGGCTAGGCTTTAGCTCGAGGATAGGGCGATCAGAGGATTAGTACGGAAGGATGCCACACGCTGACAGAGTCTGGAGCTCTAGGAAATGGCTGGCCCCTGTGACTGGTGACGTAGCGGATTGCTGGTTGTTTCGGAGAAGACAGAAAAGATGCCCTTTGACCTCTTTAAGTCACTGCAGTAAACATAGACAACACGCCTGACAACTTCATCTGTTACATTGAGGACCTTAAAGACACCGAAATCCACCGAAACAATGAATATTCTGTCTGCTATAATTGTGTTTGAGAACCTCCATGAGGTCAAGAGGCTGTTCCACTGGGGTCCGATCATCGCTCTGACGGTCATCGGCGTGTGCTCCTCCATGGCAATACTGGACTCCATCATCTGGTACTGGCCACTGGACACCACTGGGGGCAGCATTAACTTCATCATGCTCATTAACTGGACTGTCCTCATTCTTTACAACTACTTTAATGCCATGTTTGTAGGCCCTGGTTACATTCCACTGGAGTGGAAACCGGTAAGTCTGTTTTGGGCTGTTTTCAGAAGGTTACCATTTTTTATGTTTTTTAAAAGAAGTCTTTTATTCTCACACAAGCCTGCATTTATTTGATCAAAAAAATACAGGAATATATTATTATTATTACAATATTATTACAATTGCAATTTAAAATACTGTAACTGTTTTCTATATTACATTATTTTTAAAATGTAATTTATTCCTGTTATGGCAAAGCTGATTTTTCAGCAGCCTTTACTCCAGTCTTCGGTGTCACATGATCCTTCAGAGATCATTCTAATATGCTGATTTGGTGCTTGAGAAACATTTCCTATTATTATCAATATCGAAAACAGTTATGCTGCTTAATATTTTTGTCCAAAAATGTGATGTGCTTTTTTTTTCAGGATTTTTTTGATGAATAAAAAGTTCAAAAGAACAGCATTTATTAACATTATAAAATAGTAACATTATAAAAGTCTTTACTGTCATTTTTAAATAATTTAATGCATCCGTGCGGAATAAAAGTATTAATTTCTTTCCAACACAATCTTTTTAAACTTTTTATACAGTACTTTTTAACAGTACTGTGTACAAAGATTTTAAAGCATGTGTCTGTTGTATGATATTGTCTGTTTTCTAAAGGTGTCTGCAATCAGCATGTCTAATATGACTTATGTTGTTGTTTGTGTTTTCTAACAGGAGAATCAACAAGATATTATGTACTTACAGTTCTGTAGATTGTGCCAAGGCTATAAAGCCCCAAGGTCACATCACTGTCGCAAATGTAACAGGTAGATTTGTTTAAAAAAACAGGCTAGTTTCTATTAATATGGATGCATTTTAAAGCTGAAGTGTGTCATTAAAAATAAAAATAAACTATATATTTTCCCATCCCACTTTAATATGCTAAGACAGTTAAGCCATTTGTAGGTTAATTTCCCTCAAAAATACAATCTCAACCGACCAAACACAGCAACATCGGCTCAACCAGTGGTGTTAGTTTGGGGTGGGACTATTATTTTGTCGACCATTTCAGGAAACCTGTTTGAAAACAATTATTACTGTTGCATTTTCATTTTGATGACAGCAGAGGCGCATAAATTACAGACTTCAGCTTTAAAGACATAGTTTAGACCAAAATAAAAATTCTGTTCATATTGTTTCAAACCTGGAGACCCCAACATTCTCTAAAATAGTCTTAAAGGTTTGAGCTCTTTGGTCTTGGCCATGGTGGGGTTTGGAGTGTGACTGTTTGAGGTTTTGGACAGGTGTCTTTTATACTGATAATGAGTTCAAACAGATGCCATTAATACAGGTAACGAGTGGAGGACAGAGGAGCCTCTTAAAGAAGAAGTTATAGGTCTGTGAGAGCCAGAAATCTTGCTTGTTTGTAGGTGACCAAATACTTATTTTACCGAGGAATTTACCAATTAATTCTTTAAAAATCCTACAATGTGATTTTCTGGATTTTTTTTTCTCATTTTATCTCTCATAGTTGAGGTATACCTATGATGAAAATTACAGGCCTCTCTCATCTTTTTAAGTGGGAGAACTTGCACAATTGGTGGCTGACTAAATACTTTTTTGCCCCACTGTATGTGTGTACATGATGACTGTTTATTTGAATGAAATTTCATTTTGGGTGAATTCATTTATTATTAAACCATTATTTGCTTTATATATCAAAAATGTATAATTAATATAAAAATGGTTTCTTCCCTCAGGTGTGTGATGAAGATGGATCATCATTGTCCCTGGATCAACAACTGCTGTGGTCACTTGAATCATGCGTACTTCACCAGCTTCCTCCTGCTTGCTCCACTGGGCTGCATACATGCTGCGCTAATATTCATCATGACCATGTACACTCAACTTTATGATCGGGTAAGTGTTTTCTCACATTATTTATTCTCATTTTTGCTGGAATTTATTCTAATAACATTCAATAGCTGTGGCATGGACACATAATGTACACGTAATGTAAAATATTACCTGAAAACATTCATTCAGGAATGGCTAGGCTAAGCTAAGATGAGCTTCTGTTGAAATGTTCATACATTTTGTGACTAATGCTCGGGCTCGACTTTTCTTACTCGTGGTTGTTGTGATGATGTGCTGCCCATTTTCTTGGCTGTAGATCTCATTTGGCTGGAGCTCAGTGAAGATTGACATGAGCGCTGCTCGGCACATCCACCATCCCTTCATGCCTTTCAGCATTGCAGCATTTGCAGCCACTCTCTTTGCACTGGGACTGGCACTGGGTACCACTATTGCTGTTGGGATGTTGTTTTTTATTCAGGTATGTCATTTTGAATTGACTGCACTTCCTTTCTTTGCTTCTTTATTTTCTTTCACACAAAAAAAGGTCTGTTTAATCCATAGCTTGCTATATAATTGAATTTTGATCAGAAATGGTCTTTTCTTTTAGATGAAGGTGATTCTACGAAACAAAACCTCAGTAGAAGCATGGATTGAGGAGAAAGTAAGCTTGTTTACAGTATGCTTATCAGCTAAATGAGGTAAACTAATCCAATATCCCTCCTCTAATCCAATGCAAAGCAACACTCTTTCAGGAGTAGTCCTTTAAAGACTTCCCTGAACTATGAGCACTTAGTGTCATCAACATCTACAAACATAGAGGTGCTAAATGTCTTTTTAATTGACCAGTCCATCAAGTTCAAGAATCTAGACAGCTGGAAATCAATATACACTACTGTTCAAAAGTTTGGAGTAATTTCGATTTTTAAAAAATTCCTCCACAGCGCTGTAACAGACTCATTGCAAGTTATCGCATGATAGCAGTTGTTGCTGCTAAGGGTGGCCCAACCAGTTATTAGGTTTAGGGGGCAAACACTTTTTCACACAGGGCCATGTAGTTTTGGATTTAGTTTTCCCTTAATAATAAAAACCTTCATTTAAAAACTGCATGTTGTGTTTACTTGTGTTATCTTTGACTAATATTTAAATTTGTTTGATGATCTGAAACATTAAAGTGTGACAAACATGCAAAAAAACAAGAAATCAGGAAGGGGGCCAACACTTTTTCACACCACTGTATATATATTGAAAGAAGTCAGTTATTGTCACCAAGACTGCATTTATTTGATCAAAACTACAGTAAAAAAACAAACAAACTGTAATTTTGTGAAGTATTATTACAATTTAATTTAGTATTTAATATTTAATCATACTTTTTTCAAGATTCTTTGATGAAAAGTTCAAAAGAACACAATTTATTTGAAATAGTTTAAAAAAAAAATTTTTTTTTTTTTACGGGGGTATAGTCATTCAGAATTTGTTTAAATAATTTTGGGTAACACTTTATTTTAAGGTGTCCTTGTTGCACATGTTACATGTACTTACTATTATAATAACAATTAATTATGCATAATTACATGCAAGTAACCCTAAGCCAAATCCTAACCATATGGTAAGTACATGTAGTTAAGTAATATTTATATATAAATATACTTATATGTATAATTACACTGTAAAAAGGACACCTTAAAATAAAGTGTAACCTAATTTTGAAATTCCCTTGAATTGTTACTGAAATTAATTGTCCTTAAATTGTTCTGCAGCGATGTTTCATTTTGAAAAATAATGTATGTGTAACATTTCAGTTGTAAGGTATTCATAATGTAATAATAATTACAAAGTAATAAAATAATAGCAAAATGTAGTTTATATAGTACTTTAAAATAGAGTTTAACATATAGCACAAAACATTGCATGTCGACTCTCCAAATGCACATGTACAATATAAAAATTAAAATCATGTATTTATTGGGTCTTTGTGGCTAGATGAGACCTTATGGAAGCATAGAACAAAAGACCACCTCTGAATTCAGTAAGTCATGTGGGGTTTATTACATTAAAGCAAGAATCTCTGTGTTCCCAGGCCAAAGACAGAATCCAGTACTATCAAACAGGTGAAGACTTCATCTTCCCCTATGATCTGAGCAGTCGATGGGAGAACTTCAAGCAGGTGTTCACCTGGTCCGGGACCCCCATAGGAGATGGAAACGAATGGCCTGTGCATGAGAAGTGTAACCAGTACACTCTAACCGTATGTACTCAACATAATACGTATAACAGATCATTCTTTAGGTATTATATTTCAGTCTAATACAGCTCTATAGCTCAGTTTGTGATGATATTTTTGGTTCCTCTTTATTCAGATTGAGCAGCAATTTGAGTTGACTTACTGAAATAAATGAACTTTTCCACGACATTCTAATTCATTGAGATGCACCTGTACATTGAAAAAATTACTATATATTAAAATAGAAAAAAGTTATCTTAAATTGTGATAATATTTCAAAATATTACTGTGTTTACTGTATTTTTGATCAAATAAATGCAAACTTGATGAGCATAAAGCATAAAAAAAAAAAATCTTACTCTCCCCAAACATTTGAACAGTAATAAAAAAATGTTTAGGTATTGATGTTTAGGGATAACATTTTTTTTAAATTTTAATTAACAGGTGGTGGATGTATGGAGACAAAGTTTTGAATGAAGAACAGTCTAATGGTAAAGTTTTCAACATGTTATATGATCAAATTCAGTAATTAAAAAGTTTCATAAATTTGATGTTTTAAATCATATCTCTTTCTATAGCTGGATTTCGAATTAGAGGATGGTTTCCACGGCGATGTGTGGAGAAGTGTCATTATGACTCTGCGAATAATTCGGCAAGTGAAGAAAAGAAAGAGCAATGATACAGAATTATATATATTTCACAGCTTGCTTTGAACAGAGGACCTAATATTAGGGCCTGAACCCTGCTGAGATGCAAATTTCTTTCTGATTCTTTTGTAAAGCTGTTCAATGGCACCAGCGCTAAGTGTTGAAGCAAACTGATACTGACAGACGCCCCAAAGTTATTAACTTGCATAACTTAATAACATTTCATTTCCAAAGAACAGCTGCCAGAGAAACTGGCAAATGAGAAGGAAAAAGGGGTTTTTATTAAAATGGGATTGGGGCATATGTTATTTAAAGTGGGTTATTAAGATGTCTACTTGAAACTTATTTCTTCTTCTTCTTGCCTTTCTCTTACTCGCTTGCTCTCTCTTGTTTATTGATGCCCACGCTGATTATGCAAAGCCTTTTTTCCAGTTGTAACAAGGTCTTTGTCATGCAAATTGTCTGAATTGTTTATATAATTGAAACAACAATTCTGTTTTATTTTTGATGGCTTACTTTTTTGTAAAACTGATGTCAACCTCGCTGAAGTTTTCAGAGGCAAATAAACATCCGTGATCTGTATAGTAATTTCGTAATTATATTTTCTTCGTATTTTTAATGGAAAACAAACCACAAAATTAGTTTCTACTCCACAGAGCACCTATATGTAAATATAATTGTTTATTTAATTGATGTATTGAGGATGTATGGAGACAAAGTTTTGAATGAAGAACAGTCTAATGGTAAAGTTTTCAACATGTTATATGATCAAATTCAGTAATTAAAAAGTTTCATAAATTTGATGTTTTAAATCATATCTCTTTCTATAGCTGGATTTCGAATTAGAGGATGGTTTCCACGGCGATGTGTGGAGAAGTGTCATTATGACTCTGCGAATAATTCGGCAAGTGAAGAAAAGAAAGAGCAATGATACAGAATTATATATATTTCACAGCTTGCTTTGAACAGAGGACCTAATATTAGGGCCTGAACCCTGCTGAGATGCAAATTTCTTTCTGATTCTTTTGTAAAGCTGTTCAATGGCACCAGCGCTAAGTGTTGAAGCAAACTGATACTGACAGATGCCCCAAAGTTATTAACTTGCATAGCTTAATAACATTTCATTTCCAAAGAACAGCTGCCAGAGAAACTGGCAAATGAGAAGGAAAAAGGGGTTTTTATTAAAATGGGATTGGGGCATATGTTATTTAAAGTGGGTTATTAAGATGTCTACTTGAAACTTATTTCTTCTTCTTCTTGCCTTTCTCTTACTCGCTTGCTCTCTCTTGTTTATTGATGCCCACGCTGATTATGCAAAGCCTTTTTTCCAGTTGTAACAAGGTCTTTGTCATGCAAATTGTCTGAATTGTTTATATAATTGAAACAACAATTCTGTTTTATTTTTGATGGCTTACTTTTTTGTAAAACTGATGTCAACCTCGCTGAAGTTTTCAGAGGCAAATAAACATCCGTGATCTGTATAGTAATTTCGTAATTATATTTTCTTCGTATTTTTAATGGAAAACAAACCACAAAATTAGTTTCTACTCCACAGAGCACCTATATGTAAATATAATTGTTTATTTAATTGATGTATTGACATTGACATTAATGTTTCACATTTTCGTCCTTGGAAGAAAAAAAAATGTAACATTCTTTGGTATTCATTAAATCTTTTAAGGCTGTTCGTACATGTGTTTTATAATAATATATCCAGACGAAACATATGTATTTTTGACTGACAATGAGAATCTCTTGGGCACAGATTAATACATGCAGTTAAGGCTGATACAGTGCTTACAAAATATTTAATCTTTGAGCAAATATAGAAAAACATCACAACACAAACAGCACTCATAAATACATGGTCACACCGCAGGCTATCCTCAGCATTCTTTTAATGCACTACATGTTAGCATAAAGACTCTCAATCTGAACTTTAAAGAATTTAGTGAGATCTGCCCGTTTGGCTTTCAGTGTTGGAGTGAGGAGACCGTTTTCTATAGTGAACATGTCGGGATGCAGGTACAGGTCTTTTACCTTGAAAAGAGAACATAACTATATTAGACGTTCAATTAAATGAAAAGAAAACCACACAATGCATCAAAATCCAACGACTTATTAGTTCATAATCATTTTGGACTGTTTTCACTTGTAAACAGTGCTTGATCTGTGCATAAATCTTCAGTCTTGATGGATTACTAAAACATAGCTTTTTGCTTCACAAGACATTAATTGATCAAATGGAGTTGTGGATTATTGTGAAGCTTTTATCAGTTGTTTGGACTGCTGACAGCACTCATTCACTGCCAAGGATCCATTTTCAGCAGATTTTCATTTTTGGGAGAACTATTCCTTTACCAGTAATATATGCTAATAATAGCCTATTGGATCATAAAAGTGCTTACTTGTTCAAATGACTTCAGCCTTGCTGAACGCCCCAGCTTGTTGAGGTCAGAGATGATTGCTTTCTTTATTTCCTACAAAATAATGAAGATTATTGAGCAAAACTTAATATGTAACTATTTTGTAAATGTCACACGAGTAAACTAGCAGACATCCTTCAGAGTGAATTTTTTCATAAGGGTTGCATGCCCATATTTTCGAAGGTAAAGTATGTAAATACAGCGTACCTGGTTTTTACAAAGCTCCTCTAGTGAACCTTTCACTCCCAGTATTTCTGCAAAACCTGGCAATACTTCAGGGTCTGGCACCACTATGGCCACCAAAGAGGACTGGACGCATTCAATTGAAGATATTAGGCTACATAATAATACACTTCAAAATGTAAAACCAGAATTTTTATCATCAGAAATAGCAAAGAATTCATATTAATTTCACCTGTAAACTGTCACCATGCACAAACACTTGGGCGACTGGAGCGCTCCGAATGTAAACGTTTTCAATCTTTTCTGGTGCAATGTATTCACCTTGAGCCAGTTTGAAGATGTTTTTCTTCCTGTCGATGATCTTCAGCACTCCACTCTGGTAAATTGAACAAAATATAACTTCCATAAACATAACTGTTACAATTACACCACCATATTAATTTGAGGTCTCGATTTTGTCATGATTTTTACAATGTTTTTCAAAGACGTTTCTTATGCTCGCTAAGGCTGCATTTATTTGATTAAAAAATACTGTAATAGTGTGAATTTAAACTAAATGTTTTCTATTTGTATATATTTTAAAATGCCATTTATTCATGTGATGGCAAAGCTGAAATATCTGCAGCCATTACTCCAGACTTCAGTGTCATATTATCCTTCAGAAATCATTCTAATATGATGATTTGGTGCTCAAGAAACAATATCACACTTGAAAACAGTCGTGGTGCTTAATATTTTGTGGAAAACATGAAATCTTATAGAAATATTTTGAAACATCATAAATGTCTTTACTGTTACTTTTGATCAATTTAATGCATCCTTGCTGAATGAAAGTATTAATTTAATTAAAAAAATTCTTACTGACCCAACCCAAACTTTTGAATGGTATTGTACGATATATTAATGTATTTTGGGGAAAACAGGGTCATGAGCTTGTTTCTTGGAGTTTATTACCATTATATTATTTAAACACAAGAATATTAAGCCTCTTCCTCATTTTGGAGCTAAAGATCATGCACGTATTGTATTCAGCTTTGAGTTTTGTGATTTTGGGTCCTTGGCTGCCTGCTGATATCACAACACAATATGCCTATACATCTCGTTCCTTCTAAGGTGCATTATTAAAGACAGAGTTAGTAAATTAATTCAAAAGTAAATGTAAAATATTGTCATATTTCATTATACACAAGGGATCTCACAGGCAGCCATTTGCCGATATCTCCAGTGTGCAGCCATCCATCTTTGCCCAAAGCCTCTGCTGTCTTTTCTGGGTCATTGAGATATCCACGGAACACATTCTTCCCTTTGACACAAACCTAAAATGAAACACCAAAGCTATAAGACGTTTCAATGACATTTTGGTATATGGTCTAGAAAATGATGTTCCATTACCTCTCCTTCACCATTGGATGCAAAGTAATTCATTTCCTCCACATCAACAAGTTTGACAATATTACATGGAATAGGAACTCCAACATGACCTGAAATCAACAGTATATGAAATAAGTCAGTGCTATGTGTTGTTTCACACACACACAAAACATGATTTTCAGTTACAGGAACCCACTAGTATGCCAGTCTCCCGGTATGGTGAAAGAGCAGGCCGCAGTGCACTCTGTCTGTCCATATGCCTCGAATATCTGGAAGCAGGCCAGTGATAAAGGGGTCAGCACTGGGTCACTGTGACACCAGATCAATACACATACATACACACCCTGCTTTGACAGTGGGCATGTTTATTAAGTACACAGTAAAGCACCACTGCATCACATTGTCTTTTATAAGCCAAAACAGAAGCAATATATTTCATCAATTTTGGTGTTATACTCCCATTTCTTCATTCCTTACCTGGCACCCGAGGCTTGCACGGAGAAAAGTGAGCACAGTTGGAGAAATGGGAGCAGCCCCCGTCACCATCACCCTCACGCGGCCCCCCAGAGATTCCTGCAGAAGACAATTCAAAACTTTTCCAGAATCATTCCTCACAGGAGCACCACTCTTCCCCAACAAGTTCAAAAACCCTCCCATGTTGGGGATACCTGCACTTTGTGAAAGATAAGTTTGTCCCATATGCTGTCATTCCTGATAATGCCCTGCTTGACCTCTGCACATTTCTTCTCAATGGCAAAGTTCAGAAGCCATTTCTTAAATGGAGTCTGAGCTCCACTATGAACCTGGAAGGCAGCAGAAAGCGAACAATAAAAGGCTTATAGAGCTATTTGTTGGTGCTCTGTGTGTAAATGCATATTTAACAAACTCGTAGTGTTAAACATTGGTGGGTAACTCATCCCACATGTTTGTGCTAGGGATGTGAATCAAACCTCTTTAATATAAGTCTGAGTTTTAACACTGTGACAAATGATGAGCTACAGAACATTTTGTTGATTGGTTGGTTTATATTACTGCTGTGTTATGCTTTGTAACTCCGCCCACTAATCTGAGTACCACAAGGTAATCACAGCTGTGCTGATACAGATAATTATAAATTATAATAAACAAGAAGTTAAAATTAAATAACTTCATTTAGACATAAATATTCCCAGTTATTCCCAGGCACAGCATAATCAACCATCAAGCATCAGAGCAACACACCATAGTGGTGTCTTATCCTTGACTAAATCACAGTTTTTTAAAAAATCGGTTGAATGAACAATTCAATGACAAAAAAAAATTACTAGTTTCATTCCTGATGAACTAATAGGTCGAATAAATATATTAAATGATAAGTCACTTGACAGTCACTTGTCGCCGCCAACTGGCGTAATGTGAGCTGCAGAAAACGTCACTAAAAATTCTCCACAACTAATGCTACAAAACCCTGACAGACTGAAAGTGTTGCTATTCCGCATTAATTCTAGAGAGAACATTGCTTGTTGTATATAAACAAAATATGAAATATAAAAAATCTTGTCTAAGTCTTACCTTTATCGTTACATACACACACTATTGAGAGAATGCATAGAGGCCCATCTA